CATAATTTAAAACATTATTTATTTAATCATTACTTTAATAAAGATTCGGTTTTCATTCAGCTAACGTTTCAATACCTATATGTATTAAACTGTTAAATAAATTTCCTTAAACATTATTGTCGTAATACTGTAACACCATCATAATATTAAATTAAAAACAGTATAATCTAATTATAATGATTCTATGTGTTTTATTAACATAACCGATTCTTATTTAATCTATTAGCATATATCTGAAATATGTCAGCAATAGTTATTTACCATATAGCTCGCGCATTCTCGTTGAGCATTCTTTAATTAGAGCTTAAAACTATTTTCAGGTAAACATGTCTTTAAAGACATGAAAAGACCCAATCTGTGCAATCACAATCGTTAATAAGATTTTATTAAGATATAAAATAAAAATTTTATATTTTCAATACACGTAAAATATAATTACTCAAAAAAATGAATATAATATAAAATTAATTTATTTTATACAATTACTATGATTAAAATGATATAATAAAATAAGTTATTGGTTGGTCCTGTATGATCATAAAAATAATTGAGTTACTATGTATTTATTGAATAAAATTATATAATATAATTTTTTCTCGAGATATTAATACGAGGATTTTATGAAAATATGTAAAATATAGAAAAACAAAGTGATGTTTAAAAATTAATTAATTATGATAATAATTTGAAATAAAAATTATTGTAATTAATTATCACGCATAAATTATCAATAACGCCACTCGTACCACTAATTCTAAGCTTGTGCTGACTGTAAATAGTGTCAATAAATACCGTGAGCAGTATAGGAACCACAAGTGGAATCTCCATCTTTACAAGAGAGTCTTTATCTGTATTGACCACACAGGTATGCCACTCAAAGATTGGACTAGGCTGGTTAACTGCGTACAAACGTTATCAATTTATTTAAACAATATTTTATTCTAGAGATCGCTTAATTTATCAGGATACCTAATTTATGTACTCATTATACTTAACTATAAACCTTACAAACAAATCTCTGTGGAAAGTAAGTTTACCTTAGTGATGTTAAAAACAACGTTGAAAATAAATATACTTCGATTTTTGTGAAATTATTAAATTTGCCGAGCCACTACTTGTACTTGTTGAAAGTTCATAAAGTCAAGGAGCAGTAGATCGAATTGACAGTTTTTGTGCCCTTTTATATTAAATTTAATTCATCTATATATTCAAAAAGTGTCACGACGTTTTACTATTATCTGTTTATTACTCGATTGTGTTAGTTATTACATATTATTTTACTTAAAATAAATGATTTGTTACAACCAAATAATTTCTTATAGAAATTACATTAGATTTGCATCAATTTCATTTTTAGACATATTTCTCGTAATAGTTTAAAGGATTGACGTCAATAACATATATTTAATTTGATGACTAATAGATAATTATTTATAGACAACTGAATAATAAGTGATGTATGTATTATAACAAAAAATTACATTTTTTTCGAGTACACTAAATTAAACATTTCCAATATTATCACTATTAAACAAAATTCGAATATAACACGTATTACTTTTATATTGTCGTAATAGAATTCACATATAAATTATTAACCTAATCAAAATTTTAAATCAGCAAATAAATAAAAATGTGGGTACCTTTGTTTATAAAAGCAGCAACAAGTAACAGAACATTTTTTTTTAATATATATAGATATTTTATACTAATTATTTAAATGGATAAAAATTTTAATAAAGCTTCAACAAAAAAAATGTATAGAAGAAATGTTTTAAATCTGGAATTTTTTTATATTGTTTTCGTCTTCAAACGATTATCATGGGATAATATTGTCGTAATATCAGATAAACCACCATAGTTAGTGAGAACGAATTGAGTAAATGAAGGAACTAGTATTAATTAGTCTGCGTAGTTATTCACGTCTGTATAAACGTACAACAGTCATTGTATTCTCAGCTGACACTCCAGAATAATTGTGGGTGTCAATAGGTTGTTGTTGTAGAAAGGGAATAAAGTTAACACCTAGATATGATGTGAAGACAAAGTGCAAGACACTTTGAAATTTAGAGGACGAAAATAGATAAGTGTGAAGGGCGGCAAAAGAAATAAACAAAGAGTTGAATAAGCCAAATAGAGACAACCGAGTACTGAGACTGGTGAATGACACAAAACTGTAGTTGACTGATCAAGATAGCTAGGTCCTTTGGATTTAAATAGTTTTAGATTGTTTACTAATTTCACAATAATTATTTTTTTATTGTCAATTCATCAGTTGTTAATAGCGATGCGCTATCTGCGTTTTATTTTATACTATTTTCTACGATAATGGTAACTGGACACTATCACAATATAATCTTATAGTCAGTAACGCCTAAATAACACTGGTCAACAAAATAATAATTTTTTGGATTATCAGAGTGTAATATACTTTTCTTTCGAAATTTGTGCACTGATTTCAAATATCCAATTAAATTTCTTCTATGGCCTTTAGTTTTTTAGATATTTAAAAATTAATAAAATCAAGTAATTCACATAAAAAAAAAGTCCAAAACAGTGTAACGTATCATAGTTGAAACAAATATAGATGATATTTAACAGTAATTAACATTAGTATTATAAAAATCCTATTCAATGCATATGTGTTAAATTTCACAATAATTTATATATTTGGAATTTTACAACTGTCATGTAACTGTACATTTAATTTTATTAGGATCATTTTATTTTGAAAGTTATAGCAAAATGAAAAAAGAATGGTACATTTTTTTAGAAATTTTGCATGTTTTGCCATTTAAGTCAAATAATTCGTAAAAATATTGCTGTTGGAACGTTTTTAATTTTTCATCATAAAGTATTCTTTAAAAGATTGAATTTGATAAAGTTTTATGTATGTCGGACTTGTACCCTTCAAAAGCTTTAATATAATAAAAATTAAAAGATTTCTCAACAATTCTTATAAGTTGAGTTTAAAAAAAGTTTTTTTACATGCGGGGTAATATCTTTCAACCCTTTTTTGTATAAAGGTATAACCATATTCTGGAATATGTCAGGTTTACACAAGTTTGTTGTTAGGCACGATTACTAATTGTTAGACCACTGATTATTAAAAAGAATAGTTTGATAATTCCAGCTTTACTGGTGTTTAAAATGACACTAATATTATATTATTATATAAAATAAACATACATGTAAATTTTCATTAAAAAAAAATTCCTTTAGGTTCTACTAATACTTTAACATTTTAAATTTTCTAGTACAGCATAATGAAAATATTTTGGACCAATTTTTTTTTATTGTTAAAAAAACGTTCCCGTTTATTGAGGTTAATTTTAATCTATAAATAAAACCACTACTACAGAATTATACGTTTAAAAAAGAAGTTTGGTTTAATAGAGAATCTATTGAAAGATAGTTTTACTGAAGTTACATTAAATATCCTGGAAGTTTCGATTAGAATCACTATTTTTTCTTAAACTAAGGACCTACTCTGAAAAATCATTGCCAGAAGTACATTATTCGAGTGTCCCCAGAATCCATTTCTATGGAACACTGGATCAACAATATATTTTTGTTCATCAGACAAATATCGCGAAAGTTTAATTAAATCAAATAAATGTTTCAGACTGTCTTTGAACGCAGGGTTTTTTGAATTGAAAACCAAATTGAACCAAAAAAACTCTTATAATATACTTGGCCAAATCGTTTTTAAAGTTTCATACGGCTCATATAAAATCAAAAAAAAATTTACTTTGCTTTGGCCAACTAGCGAACAAACATGACATTTTCCGAGGTTTAACAATGCTAAAACTGTCAAAATATTATCAGATGAAGCTACAGTCATTATATCTAATAAGTATTTCTGATCTGAACTTAAGTCAAATTTATCATTAATTTCAGACATGTTAAGTTTCAAAACTTCAAATGGAACTATATACATATTTTCACCATTTTCTTGTAGTTATATATATGCATAGTACTTATACTTGTAATGAATTATAAATATTAAAATAATGAACTATATCACTTTTGTTATCCTAATTTTTCAAAATATACTATGGTTAAGCTTACAGAATTGGGGAACTTAATGAATAAATAAGCAATAAGCAATGAAAAATATTATAATGTCATAATATAGTATAGTATATGAGAAATATAAAATAGTTATAAATTTTATTATACCAACACATTATGCATTCTGTAAAAATTAAAACATAACTATTCTACTTTATTATATTTATGAAAAATATATTGGCTATTAATATTATAAATGAGTTCAAAATTTTAAATATATATTTTTTTTTTGTAAAAAAAATCTTAAGACTAAATATTTTATACGTTATTGTTTCAATTTTTATAAATGTTACTTTAATACTGTAAAATTTATTTATAATATAATAAAATCGTGCAAAACCTTTTGAACTTTAATTATATATACAGAATGATTTTATAACTATGTCTCATGCAATATATTTAAAAATATAGAACATGGTATAATTTTTCTTTTAGCAGTTAGTATTATACTATGTTTTAATATTAAAAAAAAAATTGTTCCTATTTCCAGGGCCGTATTTAGAAATTGTGCCATTTCCAATGGCCTTAAAAGATCTTTATATCTTAAAATTTTATCAATTTTATATTTTAAATAGAAGCGTTATATTTAACAACCTAAAAAGAGATTTCTTTTAAAAAATGATTCATCCATATCAACTTCTAAACCAATATTTTAAAATACATTAGCATTTTTATACCAAGGCATAGAAATGAAAATAAACAAACCCACGTTTTGCATCCATCAATTACTTTTAATTGTTAATAATTACCAGAATGTCGTTAGCTATTAAAAACTTTATTTAATACAACTGTGAAAGAAATTTAAGAGCTATATTACTACCATATACTGTTTTATGGCATTGGTCACTGTTGTACACAGCTCCTCATAAAATGCTTTGTAATAAAAAATGTAATATTTCAATTATATTGAAAGCATATAGATTAAAATAAAAATTATAATTAGCCTTCTTCGCCGTTTATTAAGTTAAGCATACACATGAAAATATTTATAATATCTGTAAATAATATAACAACTGCTAAAACATATTCTGCAGGTGAAATCTCTTCTTTTCTTCCGCCCATGATTAACTGCGTATCGTAGGCTAGATACTAAAATGTTCAAAATTATATTATTACTTTCAATTTATAAATATAAAATCCAAATTATTAGGTTAAAATTAAATTGAGTTTCTATAAAAATCAAAATTAAAAAGTTATTGTGCAAAAAATATTATACATAAAAATGAATAATATAAACTTAAAGAAAAAATTAATAGTTTCAGGAAGAAATTTTTCATAACATAATTATCAAAAATATGTTTAATCAAAAATAAAATCCAGCACATTAGTATCACGACGAAACGAGGACTCACTAGAGTCTGGACAAGTATAAATGATATTTGACAATGATTAACATCACTATCATAAATAATGATTCGATGCAAATCTTTTAAAGCAAATTTTACAATAATTTATATCTGTATGTACTTGTATATTTTACAATTTCTAATCGTAAAACGGATTTTTATAATATTATAGTACACTTTAAGAGCATTAATTTCATATAAATGGAAAGTTGTCAGACTATTTTTAAAAATTGAATTTAAAAAAAAATTATATTATTTATTAATATTTAACTTTTAATGATGGATGTTAAGATAGTTTATAGACATGTTTGTGGTGATCATGAATTATATTTTGTAAGTTCACCAAAAATATTTTTTAATGCATTACAATTATGTTTATACAAAATACTCGTATGAATTAAGTATAATAAATGTATCGACCATCTAGCGCTCAAAAGAGGTAAGTAACTTATTTTGTGAAGAAGAGTGGAGGTATGGAATAAATTTAAAAACTGATCACTGTCTTATATCAATAATATTGAGTTTTGTAATGCCACATTTTATATTATTCCAAAATGTTTAATGAACAAGATTATGCTAATGCTAATAAAAATATTTAAATGAAGCTCTTGAAATTTTTTTAAAATATACTTTCTTCATTTGTGCGCTAGACCATTAAAACTTAATTAAACCCATATCCATCAATATATAAACAAAAAAAATTGTTAAAAGTAATTTTTTTCTCATTGTTTGCTCTGTTTTAAGAGGCTTAATATACGAATTTTCAAGATCTTTTTCAAAAGGAATTCCATTTTTTTTTTTTATATATATATATATATATATAAATCATTAAGCTAATAAATTTAACATAAAGTTCAGTTACTATTCTCAAAAATTAATAATAGGTACAATACTAACAGTTCTGGCGCAGTAACGGCTACTAGATCTGGACTAATAATGTCATATATATGCGATGATAACGTTTTATATGACCAGTACCCTAACAACAATGATAACCAAATACTGACCGCCAATACTTTATCAGTACTCAAACAAAATACGTATGCAGTACTATGCTAGTATTGGTTGGCCAATGGTCAGTACTAGGGCAATACTTCACCTGTTGTTAATACTGATAAACAAAAAATTCTGCTTGGGTTTCATTAGTACATTAATATTTCAGTAATTTATTACTTACTATGGAAAAAACAAACACTCCAACGGCTCCTAAAATTATTTCTGCTTTTTTGTACTCGAAATAAACATGACTTAGCAGAAAACTTGTTATCACTGCCATAATAAGAATTATTGCACCCATAACAAATATAAGCACGCCGAATTTAGTAATATCAATCTAATGGTTACAAAAAAAAGTTTTAAAATCAAATTCTCTATAGTTATTACGCACTTATATGCATATAAGACAACTTACTTAAAAAATTTCTTTATTTTTTATTGAATGTAAAAATGAACTTTTCAGTTTTAAATTTTATCTTTTCTACTTACCGGGCAATATGCAGCTAATATGGAAACGGATAAAGACAATGCAAATGTATAACATATAGCCAAAATAATTATTCGTAATTGATAGTGGATGCATGCACAACTAATGACTACGCCTAATGACATACTCTGAAATGAAGTTGTTTTTTAGTTTACAATACAGGTTGTAGCAAAAAAAGAATATAGATGATACTATGGTGACATTTGTAAAGCCTAAAAATAGTAAAATGAAAAACCAGAATTTTATATCTCCAAAATAGGAGATTTCCATAGCTCCATAAGTATTTACTTAAAAAATAAATAAATATCACTGCAGTGTTTCCAGCGAAATTCTCATAAAAATTGAGAGGTCACTCAATTCCTCCCTTTCTTTTGTCCTCCTAATATTACATAATTTTCGTATGTAATATTACCTATCGTCATTACTGCATTGATAACAAATATATATTTATTTTAAATATTTAATAAGTTATGCTGTTAATATGCATGTTATTAACATAAGATATTAACATAGACGCAACTCAGGGGATGCTTTGGCAACTTTGCAACCTCTAGGATGACATTAGTACCTCTAACATAATATTACCATTCTTTTAAAATTGTATAAAGAAAAAATAATAATTTCTTGTGTTATTGCATAAATAATTAATATGTTTATAAATCTTATCTTTCAGTTCTATAAGTATGCAATGCCATTGGATTAATATGTGTATTTTACATTAAACATAGTTATTTATTTTGGTTTCAAAATTTATAGTTGAAATACTTCAATTACAAGAAAAAAACGAATATAATATTATACATAAATTCATAAAAAAAGATTGTGTACATCATTTCTTTCAAATGTGAATATGAAAAATTATTTTAACAAATCATAAATTTTAACTTACACATCCCCAAGTTCAAAATACTATTTCCACCAATGGATTTTAAATATATCAATTTTAATTGGTATAATACAGGTAAACAACCAGTCACATCGTTTTTTTTAAATACCGTCACCACTTTTCAAAAATTGTATTGAAATAGTGAATACATAATTAAATGTCTAACAAATATTTTTGATAATTATTAAATTTTAAAATGCGTTGACATAATTTTAATATAGTTGGACTGATTGACCTACAATAATATGACTAAATAGCTTAATCACCTCCTATATTATATATAATTCAAAATATATATGATTAAGAATCCAATCTAAATGTTGTTTCAATAGAAAATATTAAAATTATACAAGTTTACTTAGAAAAATTCAGTTTTCATCTTAATTTAAAGATAATATAACTTTTGATTATGTAATATTTACAATCTTGATATATAACACTAACCATGATTGTTAAAACAATAAAATTTAATGGTACAGTCCTCCTTACATTCTCATAGCACGAAATAGCATACATTGATACAATATACATGTAACTGGAATTTTATATTCTATGTATACATTTAACATATAATAGTGATAAGTAAGGCTCACAACTTATAGCTCTTATAAGTATGAATTTAAGGAATAAAAATTCAAAAGCGCTTAACTTTAATGCACTTTAAAACTTTATGCAAATATTAAATGTGAAATCAAAATAAATATATTAATAATTGCTTAACAATACTACAGAAATATCGAATACTAGTATTTAAGCAAAAGTTATGATTTATCGTTTATTAGAATATATGGACTAATATATAAAATATTTTTTGTTAAGAAATAAAAAATATTCATTGAATAAAACTGTAATTTTGCTCTCCTCAATAGGAAGAAATTGTATAATATGGTTCCGTATAAAAAATTTAATACATTCCAACAATTATTTCTAAGTGGTTTTTTGCGGGTTTAGTTACGTACACTTATAAAAATAAAAACAGGAAAACATAAGACAATTTTAATTTTTATTCATCTTTCAGTTATATAAAAATACAGTAAGACTTCGATAACTCGAAGATCAAGGCAAATAATTTTTTGTTGGACCTATAAGGTTTTCAAACCACTAAGGATTAGTAATATTAAGGTTTATTTTAGAAATTAAATCGACTGTAAATTAAACTGTAATTAAATCGACTCTAAAAACACTTAATTGTTTCCAAGTAACAGATTGATTCCAATTGGCAATGCTGAATTTAATAAATTTTCATATTGATCANGTTTTCAAACCACTAAGGATTAGTAATATTAAGGTTTATTTTAGAAATTAAATCGACTGTAAGTCGTAAAAAATTATTAAAATAATTTTTTTACTCTAAAAACACTTAATTGTTTCCAAGTAACAGATTGATTCCAATTGGCAATGCTGAATTTAATAAATTTTCATATTGATCAAATTCTAATCAATACTGAACACAATAAAAACAATTTATTTAAATGATTACAATTAATCATTCTAGATATATAGATAAATCACTGTAAAAATTCACACTAATTTTTCACAAAGTATAAACTATTTATTGGAGTTATCTATAATTTTTCTTTTTATCATCTTATTAAAATTTTCGAATTATCAAAATTTTACTGCACTTTAATAATATATTTAGAATACACCTCTAAATACCATTTACTAAAAGTATTAAAAATAAAATAGTTCAAAATTAACCAAAACATAGAAAATGTTTTTATAGCCAATTATGTAGATTATTAAAAAATTAATTGGTGTAGCAAAGATTTTGAAGTGAAGATACAATTTATACGTTTAAAATACCAAATATAAATAAATTGATTGAATACTTGTTTTTCAATATTGAAAATTATCAACGTTCTCCTATTAAAATAAAAATATTTTAAAATAGCTTCAAATAGCATTTTAATCTTAGCTCTAGAGTACTAGAGTTCGTTATTTCACTACTGACAATTTCATTTTATTGTAGTTACTTTTAAAATAAAAACAAAAACAGACTATGATTTACCCACTAGAAATTTTATTTTAGCGACTTGATAATTTATGTTAAGCTTGTTTACTTTCTGAAATACATTTATAGCTTATGTAGGTTGAACTTTTTTAAAAAGTATGAAAATACTAGAAATTATGAGCCTTATTCATAAGTAAGAAGTTCAATGCTACTTACAGTGATAAAATGACACATAATAGAATGTATTTTTTTAAAAAATCCTTTGCTTCTGGCCTAAATTAATTAAATAAAATGCTTACATTTTCTCTATAGACTAAATTTTTAAAATATATAATTTAAGAACTTCAATTTTTTTTTTCAAAATTTTAAATATTTACGATGATATAAAAAAAATTTTAAAAATTGTAATTCTACTCACGAAATAATGAAAAATAAAATTTCCCCAAATACGATTGCTAGCATAAGTGTTAGTATCGAATAAACTTTCTTGATAAACTTTTGTCTTATTTCTTTTGAATTAAATTCACCTGTATAATTGAAATTAAAATTACCTCTTCCGCTACTAGCTGTTATGTTTTCTTCAAGGCCGCCTCTTAATCTAAGTTCTTTGATGGTAGTTGTGCAATTATTATCACTAATATTACTTGATTCTTGTTCACTCTATGTAAAAACACATTTTTTTAAGAATACAGGCGAATTGATGGATAAATAATGAAAAAATGTTCAGTTTTTTCTATGATGAAGGGGAGAGATTTATATAATCATCTTAATTAATGTAATTTTTTGTTTATGTGATTTAAAATATTACATTAATAAAAAATTAAGGTTTTACTTAATTGTCGAGAAACATTTTTTTTTTTTTTTGATACTAGGTATTATATATATTTATTCTCAGTACTCAAATTAAATGACTTAAAATCCTTAAATAATTGTTCTTTAGTAATGATTGTTAAAGATATTTACTGATACATGAGAAAATGTATGGAATAAAATACTCTTACGTTTTCAACTTTATACTCATGTTCTTTATTTGCTGTCTGATTGATGTTGGAAATTTTATTTTCTTCTATATCAATAGTCACATCCGAAATACTATTACTCTTAATATTTTCATGATTCACATGAGGGGATGAATATTTATCATACTAAATAAACAAATTTTTTTTGCATAAAATTTAATTTCAAACTTTGGTTTAAACTATTATTATAACTGGTTCTGCCATAGAAAATAAAAAACCGAAACCTAACAGAAAACTTTTATCATTTATAAGTACCCTCCTATTAATAAGTGTGTTTTAAACTAGAAATCATAACATACTATTTTGTAAATAGATAGTTAATCTTGGTACAACCTAAAGAAATATTTTTTATCTAAAAAATTATACATTATTATACTTTTACTTAACATATTAACTTAAGTGTTTTTTTTTTTTTTTTATTAGCTTTCAATACAGAAGTATTATTATAGCTAAACGATTAAGATAAAACTAACTTAAGTGTTGGACATGTAAAATCCAACTCCATAGCTGGGAAAAGATAACAAAAATGAAAATTTTAGCCTTTAAAAGATTAAATTGACGAATGAAAAAATGTGTAGTTATAGACTAGATATAGAAGTTTCAGAAAAATTGTTGAAGCTTAACTTCGCCATCTTACCCCGCCTTACATAACCTATAAAATTTTTATATTTACTATTATTTAAATTAATATTTACCATAACTAACCAATAATAATTAATATCTTACATTTTCATTACTACATTTCAAATTTAATTTTCGGTTTTTAGATTTTATTATGGCAATATCTACATTATTTTCTGATAATGTTGTAATGTTTTCATCTTTCAAGTGGTCAATTGAAAACTATTTAAACACAGTTTTTAATTAAAATTTTATTACACGATATAATTTACATTAAAGTATAAACAGGTATATTATTAGCAATAAGTTGAACAATAATACAGCAAAATATTAATTTATATTGTATCTTTTACCATTACCTCGGTTGATAATGCCATAATTGATTTAAAAAATTAATTTTTCATAATTTTTAAACGTAAAAGTAAAAATCTATATTTAATTTTAAAAAAAGTGTATAAAATATTTTTGTAAAATAGTTTTTTCAATAAGTAACCACGGTGATTTCAAATTCCGAAAAAGGGTAGTTATCCTTATTTTAGCCTGTGATGTGTCAAAACTAAAAATTAAAATAACTATGTATTATTCTAAAGTATAGTTATTATTTTAAAAATTATCAATTTAGATAGTGACTTTATAATTCTAATAATCCTTAAATTTAATTAGAGTTAGTAAATAAATATTTATTTCACAGTACTTAATGATTTATGAAATTTTGAAATACAGACTTGAAGAGCATTTGTGCCAAATTTTTTTCAATTGATAGAGAAGTTTGGGACGAGATAATCCACGTTCCTACTAGCAATGCTCCTATTATCCCAAACCGGACTTACCACTATTGCGGTTCTTAAAAATCCTACGGAAAATGTACTATACCACCGGAGTATGCAGTAAGGACTTGCTGATTGTCTAGGAAACACGAAGATCTAACATCAATACCATCCATCTATTTTCCCGACAGGTGTAGAACAAGAAACAGCACCCCCAGCTACGCTTCCGTCTATCGCGTCACATGTGTGTAGCACAGACTAGTTTTAATGTATCGACACGTCAATCGGTCTTTTCACGTAATCAAACCTCTAGCAAAATGGTTCGACCAAATATCTCAAGGAAGGGAGTTAATGAGGGAGCAGGTACCTCGAAAGGTACTCGGTCCGGGATTACTGACAATAAAAACAGTTTACCTCCGACTTACTCCAAAAAGAAAGAAAATATCAAAAACCCAATAAAAGAAAAAAATAGGAGAAAAATAAGCAAAAAAGTAACCACGAATACATCAACATTAACTGCCGACGGGAACTGGTGCCACAAACTAGAAGACCACTGACAAGTCCTTTACGACCAACAATCGCGTCGACCGCCAATCCATTCCAGTAGTGCCGTCGGTAGAAACTGTCGTTGAGTGGTCAACCTAGGATCATCTACAACAAAGTGGTGACACTAATGAATACGGAGGTAGCCACTCTGGAGAAATGAAATAACAGCGTAGGGGAATTTCTTTTCTGGTCCAATTGACCATCAGATTCAAACCCTTCTCATCTGGAATAATCGGATGAATTCCCAATAATTACTCCACCCTCGGTTTGCCCTTTTCGTGATGTACAGAGAGGACGTTAAATTTTAACTATTGATTCTCCACTAACGTCCGTGTTACATAGACAATAACATTAGAAATATATAGTCCGTAAAGCATGTACTGCATTTTACCACGTTATAAACGTTAGTACGATAAGAGACAAACAAATGACGTAATATAAGCACCAACTACGGTATATTTTTGTGAAGCCAGTAAGAGAAAAAACATTTATAACTGAAAAATTAGGCCCTGTCAATGAATATATTAACGACTTGGCGGGGAGAGTTGACATGATACCTTGTGTTAAATAGACACTCACTCAAGTCTCTCTTTATCAGCCGTCTACAAAACGATATGACAACTGATGGTTGACTACGTATCCCCACTTACGATATAGGAGGGTATAAATTCCTCCAAGCTTCAGGCGACAGTTGACTGTCGGTCGCCATATAATCATTCGGTTTGTTTTCCGATGTCTTGAAGTGTTGTTTTCACATTTTTCCAATGCATCAACGTTTTAGACGTTAATTACGAATACTTTTATATTGTTCTTCAGTTGTCTACTTTTATTAAAAAAAATATTAAGTACTTGGACACCTTTCTGCTAATTAATCCAACCCAACCGGTGACCTATAAATTGTAAAAACTCAGTTTCTGTGTAATATACGACGTCAGTCAGTTCTATAAAATTTTTTGGCGTTGACTATATTGTTTGCCTATCGATCCTTATCGTAGTTTACAATGTCATAAATCAAAAATAAAGTAAAATGTTAAGCTACATAAAATAGTACAAATAGTAAAAGATAGATAAATAACTAGATTAAATGGTAAAGGGATAAATTTGTAAATGGGATAAATATTAGAAATCTCGAGGGTTGAACGATGTTAAATAGATTATGTTAAACATCCCTTAAAATTTTATAATTTATCTTAATGGTTTATTAAACCATTAGGTTGTTTATGGTTCGAAAGCATAGATTAAAGTGTACTTACCTTATATCCTATGGCGCGTAATAATATTTTAAGTAATCCAACATTGATTCTTTCTATTAAATTCACTGCGTATAGAAATCACACTATGCATTATATAGACAAAATTATTACTCACGCAAAAGTATTAATCTCAAATATTACGACTTCTTTATCCAAAATCTATGATTTTTATTTGTAAAAGATTCTAAACACTGTCTATCTTTTTTTTTATCTTTATTGAATAAGTTTTTTTTTTTTTTGAGAGAGAGAGAGAATATATTTTATTAAAAGATCGACACCAATAATTTTTAAAGATTCTTCTAGGCTGGTCAAAACATGATTAAAAAATTATTTAAAAATTATATCTATATAAACATTTTTTCAAGGCGGTATTGTGGTAGCTCAATATGTTTCGACGATGACACCTTAAAATAATACGGCACAATAATCACCAAGACAAAAATTAAACACTTACAATATGATTGTAAGTTTTTTTTTTGAGTTTATTTATTTATTATTTAAGTAACGCGTATATAGGCAATGAGTACAGTTAATATACATTCTATGAAAACAATATATAAGTATATGTGTACAATAAGATAAACATATTACGAAGACCTTAAAACAGAAAAAAAGGAATATAAATAAGCAAATTTAAAGTATCATATTAATATAAAATAATATTTAAAGTATCATTTTCTTTAACATGACTAAATTATGATGATAGAAATCAAAATCAGGTAAATAATTACAAACTAGTAACATGCGATTAAGTGGCGAGTTATGACTATAATTCTGTTTTTATGTAAGTTAATAAAAAAAGGAAGATGCTCTAAGATTAGTAGCAGGTACATGAAAATTAATTTTATTTAAAATATCTGAGCAATCAACTTTATTTATAAATAAATTATAAATCCACTATACATCGTTAAATTTTCTTCTAGCTTGAAGATGTTCTTTAGAACAAAGACATTAAGCTCTAAGACTACCCAATAAGAAAAGTTCACAATAAATATTTAAAGTTGGGTTGGATTTATTATTAAAATAAAGTAATTTAAAAACTGGTTTAATGTTTAAAATATTATTTGACATTTATTTCCATTATAAGAAAAACAGAAAACATTATTATTTAATGTACAAATAAACTTAAATTAAATGATTCACCAAAATAATTTTCCCTATAATATTTCTAAGTATCATTTATTATGTATAAATTATATGTCATTTAATTAAAATAATATTCTTAGTCAAAAAAAATAAATAAAAAACGATTAAATCCCTGAAGTGAGAATATGAGTAGATTGTCGCAGATTTTATGTATTTTTATATTACCGACAGCACTGGTTTTGATTGAGACAAATTGTTTTTTATAGTTAGAAGAGAATAGTCTAGCAATCCCTAGCGTGATCTTTGAAGCTGTGGCTTTCTTTTCAAATTGGTTAATTACAATGGGAGGATTGCACGTACGCGTTATTTAAAAATCTATATAATAAGTAGATTTTATTCCATGATTGTTGGTTATCTTATTTTTTTTAATAAGGAAACCCAATTTTAGTGACCTTGTATTTTACAAGACATACATGTGCAAATAATGACATCATATTATACGCTAATATTATAAGTGATAACATAATATTACGAAACACCTCCGTATGCTACATACAGTGAGTCGTCTCTAAAGCAATTGAATAAATTAAAAAATCCACTAAAGATCTTTTAAAATGAACTTAAACAGGAATCTGTTTTGATGAATTCCAAGCATAAATAATTAAGACAAATTCATATGATTCTTTATGAATAAAATTATTATTTGGTGAATATATGAAGTCAATCATAATTATATCAAATGTTAAATTCTGTCAAGCCAACATTTATAACAATTTTAAATACAATTGATATTTCTTATGGAATACAATATAATCTCTTAGGTCATATGGTTGTAATAAAATTTAACAAAAAGATTACAATAAGAGCTATAAAGTTAAGTTATAATAAAAAGGATTATAGCTTAATATCAATTTTCATAATTGTCTACAAATGTTCATTTATTCACTAATTAACAAATAGATTAATAATAGTATACATGTTTGAGTGGATTCAATTATCGGAATAGATGTGAGCCCAGAGAACTTATGTTCTTGTTTTATATTTTATTTATGTATTGTTTTTTTTAAAGTTTTGAATGATAATGGCTGCCGAAGGTGCTTCACTTTTATTGTCCGGTTTTTCGATATGAAATTGCTTATTATAAAATATTGTTTTTTATATAAATACATTTACATTTGTACTTTTTAGTGTTTTTCTTTGATTATTATTATTTTTCTTTGGCAAGACACGACCAAAGTATAGAGACACTGTAAAAAAAGGCAAGAATTCTTTTATTTGGGCAGAATAAACTTTTGTATATTCATTGTCAGTGGCGTATTTAGAAATTTATAATGGAGAGGGGCATGAAAAATGTTCATGAATAAGCTACCATAAAATGACTTTTTTTTGCTCATAACTTCTGTTAACACATATTTTAGATTTTTTTGAAAAAAAAAATGTGTTATTTGTTTTGAATCCATTTTTATTAAAAATAATATTTCTTTTTTTACAATGTGTATCTCTACGTAATAAACACTTCAATAACAGGTGATATCATTAACAGGACAACTGTGTGGGCGTCAAATTTTGCTTCGTAAGACAACTATATCGACTAACATTTCATAAACTCATGTTATTATTGATAACCAAAACTTAAGTTTTTCTAATAATATTATACACTATTGCATTGCCTAATAAAATATTTACATTACTCAGTCAATGAGAGGGGGGCACTGTCCCCTGTACCCCCCTATAAATACGCAACTACGTATTTTGTTTTGCTTCACTGGAGCTACCCTTTATTAGACTAATACGTAAAGAAGTTTTTCAAAAAGTATTTTAGGCTCAAAAATAGGAAGCTACTAATTAAATCTATATTACTCTAATACATCCATTCTTATAAAAAATAAGATACTTTTATATTTAAAAAATGTTGTAAATCTTGTTCATCTATTTTATTTTATCGTGTGATTAATTATTTTAAAATAATAGATTGTATTATTAGCTAATGATGATATAATATATCATCAGTGTTTAAGCAGCGGTTAAGTGATTCAATCTCACTAGACTAATTTCGATTAATAATAAACGCAATAATATTATGGTTGTTATTTATCGGGTTGTCTGCGCGCGAGCTCGTACGTTACGTTAATGTTATTTATCAGAAAATCATCAGCCGGTTTTTTATTGCTATTTAATACTATAAAATTACTTTGACAAGCCGCGCCCGCACAATCAGCTTGATGCGTACACAAACAGGACGGTTATTTTTGTATATTTTTTTTAATTATGATATTAATGTCATGTAATGTAGGATTACAAGGTATATATTTAATAAAGACTGTGTTATTGTTGTAAATAACGTCTATCACGACGTCTTAAAAAAATTGAGATCACATGTTTGTACAATTAACAATGGTAATAACAAATTAAATTACAGAAATGCCACTAATGAGTTTCATCTCTAAGCCGACGATATCACCCCATGGAATACCATATTAAATATTTGACCTGACGGTCAAAACACCATCACTTTTGTTGCCTTTTAACATCCCTTTTCAAGTATTTCCTGTATAGACAGTAATTGATTCTGCACTAACGCTCAAAATGTCAAACATAATAAATAATATGAATACAATATTTTGAACGATTTTTCACTATGCTTAGAGTGTGCGGAACAACGGTCAGCTAGCAAATAAAATTTAAGTGATCAGAAGGGATGAATGCCCCGACTATAACAAAAACTCAAACGAACGAAAAGGCGGTTACGTGTATCAAAGAGGAAAAAAAAGTGAAAGGGGTCCTTTTTCATTTGAAACTGTCTCCACGAGGTATTTGTACTAAGTTTCATTAAAATCGGTTGTGTTGTATGCTGTCGATGAAATCTGATTATTGCGGTTGTTTCAGTGATTAAATTTTAATCTAATAGAAATTTTACACTACTCAATGTAGATTGTTTAATATTTGAGATTTTCATCCTGTGTAGTAAAAAATGGTTATATATTAACAATACGGTTCAATAAATTTTGAAAAGTGACGGCTTTTCTAAATATGAAAACAAAAAACTAATTTCACTATTGAATTCTCTAATATACAATTTTCATGTTGTATAGTACAAATTTGAAAATGTTTAAATTATATTTGAAATATGTTTAAAACATCAAATTTTTGAAACTAAAAATAAACTGTACTTTCATAATCATGATTTTCAACATTCTATCTTTTATCCCATTAAATAAATGTAGAATAGGTTATTGATTAAATAGTATAATAAAGTTTATACATTTGTAATTATAGTAATTATCATCAAAAAAGATATTATCAATGGTTTGATTAATTACTCTTCGTTTTGATAATTTTTTTATTATCACTGCCATAGACTTTTTCTTGTTTAATGTTGTAATAATTATAACTGAACTAACTTACGCAGCACATCATACAACTTTAGATACACTTTAATTAAGATATTTAATGGTGATTAGACAATGCGTTATTAATTCGTAGAACAATTATCACCATAAATGAAACTATATTTTTAATAATGTCCATTACACATGTACAACGAATATCAGCGAGCAAGTATTCGAAGGTTCATAATCAAGACCACCGACATTTTTCATAATAAAAATATAGTTATAATATTAAACTTTAAAATATTTCATATAAATATTTAAATTTTACTCTTGATTCCTCTCTTAAAAATAAAATACTGCCAGTCGTTGCACTCATTATTTAGAGCATCAGATGATTTTGCTTGTTTATAAAAAAAAAATTGTATCTATTAAAATATTTATAATTGAATTATAAACAAATTAAGGTATTTTTTTTCTTTACAAAAAAAAAACTATTTTTGAAAATTATTTACTGCATTTATTAACAATATAGTTGATATAACAGTCAATTATTTGACAAATATATTCATCATATAATTATGAATTTACTATTCTTTTATTACTGATTAAAAGAAAACTATGATTCGGTTATAATCTTGATAGATTCAGAAGCCTAAAATATAATTGTGGGTATATTGATAAATAACAACATTTCAAAGTAAAATTAATTTTTAATGTATAAGTGTTTGGTGTTTTTGTAATTCTTAACATATTTAGGAATACTTTGCAAAAATAAAGAGATATTTAAAATTTTCTAATATCTTTATTCTGTATCCAGTATTTTATTCTTTAAGCAGATTAATGTATTTTATTTAACAAATGAAATAAAAAATAATTTTTAAAATTGATATAATGATTCAAAAAAGTATTCTACCTAAGTATGACTAACATATTATATATATACTTATATCAATCAATAATCATTAATGAATTTATTGGTACTTGCCAATAGCACCATACACTTTTTTCTATCAACAATACTAATCAAAATGCTTAAAATTTTTTTTTTAATATTAAAGAATTCGTAATTATCTATAATTATAAAAAAATAGTGAACCGAAATGGAATAAATTATGAACATTTATATTTTTTATTGACAAATTTAACTACATAAATACTATAATAAAATTAGTATTGAAATGTAAGAATTCCTAACGATATCACACAGAATAAGACTTATTAATAACAGTCGATACAAACACAATTAAAATAAATACTAACAATGATATTTATAAAAATGTGATTGAGAAACCAATTTTTTCCATCTACTTTATAGTCTTGTATTTAAAGACAAAGTCCATTATAATTATTATTAATGAATAGCATGCAACCGCTTGTACTGTGTTCTAGTGATGAATGGAAAATTGAAAGGAGGCATTTGATTAAGAATTTCCCTGAAACAAATCATAAAATAACAACATGTATTTAGTACTCAAGTCAAATATATTTAAACAAAAATCAGTGAATTACTCACTAGATTAGAAAAATATCGTAAATGATATTATATTTTTAAATACTAAGAGTATTTCCATTCATTCGTCAGACCTACACTATTAAATGCACCGTAATTTGGCACATGACGATGTACAAAATGAAGTGTTAATATTATGATATTAAAAGTGTTTGGCTGCAAAAGTTTCGCAATATTAATTATCGACTGACAAGCCAATGACGGTAACGGCTGACAGAGTTGATTAATAGTGTTTAACTAGTTAGGTCCGGGATCTATGGTCATTGCTAACCAGTCACCCTAACGTACCAACACATAACACAGGAAAGGTTAGGACGAAAAGAGAAACGGACTACTGGGTGGTAAAGAAATGTTGCACGTCGGGCGCGGCGGTACACCAGACATTTGTCAGCGACGGCATCGGCACGTCCTCCTATACCCTGCCAATAAAGCAAGATTGATTACACGTATTAACAAGAGGACACTTACCCTTTCCCTCTCCTCATACAACGCACGCACCGCGTATATTATACACCCTATTCCGTCTTCTCCCTTATGCCACCCTATACACACACGGCCGAGTGTATATAAAATCCGCAGCTCCTTTTTTTTATATGCATGAACCCTTTGTCTTCTCCCGTCTTTGCCATCCAACAATACCTTCATCTTATTTCCCCCCTTCTTTTTCCTCGTATGTTATTTCTCCTGTCACCACTTTGCGTCAGTTACCTTTACCGAATTACTTATCCCGAAAAATCCGTCTGTCTAATTTATCATGACTAAACCAGCATTAGCTTTGTCGCACCGTCTTAATACAAAATTTACCGCAAAACAGTTAGTGGATTACGTTAACGCTTAATATCTCATTGGTGCTTCTTTTTAAAAAAAATATGTAACTTTGTGGTAGCTGACGTCACTATAAATAACTCTTGTTATTTTATTAATAACAAAAAATTAAGAAAACTTCTTAGACTACACATTTGAAAACAACATTTATTTTCCGAACAATATAATTCATTTACAAATAAAATTTCACTAATATTTAACTGCGTCACTAACAAAAAATACAATTAAATCGTAAAAAATAAATAATGTACAATAATAAGTTATTCTACACAAAAAATGGGATTTAAATAACATCAATACCTACCATAATATGATTATAATATCATTATAAATAAAATGTGTAGATATCATTTTTTATTCAAGTTGTGATGTGTAGCTTTTATGCTAATTTTTAATAATTATAAAAAGTTTAATACATTTCATAGACTGTTAAGTTTGGAACATGTCAAATAAACTAAGACCCATCCCAGTCTGGGGCCCTACAACGCGTTAGAATCATAGATTCCTGTAAACGTTTTACACAGATGTTTTTACATATAAAGAATGACTTCATAATCAGTATAACGAAAATATAATAAACATTTAGCCATTAAAATTAGCAAATTTAACAAAAATGATTAGTAAAATAAAATAAGATTACGGTTAACATTTGGTTTGAAGGTGATCACGATAATATGATAATAATAATTAAATTTTAACACTATATTTGATACAATAATATTAATAAAATTGTGTTATTCAGTTATAGGCTATAGTGTGTTATTTTAACATAGAAACTTGTAACTTATTTCTCTTGATTAAGGGAAAGGAAAATATTGTACGGACTAGCGTAAGAAATTTGATTGTCTGTACCTAAATATCAAAGCACAACTCGTTTTTAATTTACTTATATTATCACCCTGACAAGTTTTATGAATTCCTTTAATCATACGCCTGGTATTACTGTGTGTATTAAAATTTTGTTGAAATTTATCATTACATAAATTATTAGATATGTGATTTCGAGTAGATTTAAAAAAATATATCACAATTAGAAAGCCATGTAACTTTGCACCTTGGAAATATATGTAAATGCATTAAATAAAGTTTCAATCTCACAGATTTTGTCAAAATGAAACTTGACATAAATTATAATTATCTCTAATAGTATCACTTAATGATAACACAGTGTTGATACGATAAAGTATATTTATGATTTCACATGCATTGACTCTACAAAACCTGGCGTTAAGCATCCTAGGGTTGCCTCAGAAAAGTCTTGTGTACAAGTTTTAAAGTGACAAGGTTATGTAATAACTTGACAACGTATTTTTTAGACAGAATACGATATATGGCCACTATACAATTTCCATGTTTCATTGTAAAAATTTGAAAATATTTAAATTACATTTTAAACATATTTTAAATGTGTTTAAAACATCAAATTTTTCTGGATCAGTGGATGACCACCAATATTGAAAGACTACATAGATGAGTAATTAGCTTACGACGTTTGAATTAATGAGTTGTCATGAATTATCTGTTTTACTGATACCGGATTCATGCATTGTATAATATCCAGCTTATTTATATGATAGTAAGGCATTACAAGACATATACCCTCCCCTTTTCCGTCGTTGATAATTTTATGTCAAATTGATTTAAGTTGCAATAAGTCAAGTGGTAATATATTTTGAGCAGTTCAAAAGTCAAGTTAATACTATTTGTAATTTTTTTTGTTAATCGTTAAGCGTACTTGGTTTAGTAAAAGGTGAAACTTTGTGGCGATAGACACCTAAAAACATTATATTAAAATGAATATTTTCTCACATTTACATTGAAACTAATGATTTTAAATTAAAAAAAAAAAAATTAATACTCATATAAACTTTGATGCCAAAAAAAATTCAAAATTATTTTTATTTTTCCAAATAAGTGACTGATTCTTGAGAAGTAAATTATTCATTCTATTTGATGTTAAATTTACCATAATGTTTACAGATATCGTTAGTGATTTAAAAAAAAAAATTTTGGCGAACATTAAACATTGCTAAAAAAGTTATTACTACAGAATTTCACAAATTTCAAAAAAATCGAATACTTGTAAATAATGACTCGAAATACATCAGTTTGCACAGTTGTCATTAAGTTACGCCTTAAGGCGTCTGGGTACCGACCTTTTTTTATACATATTTTATACTTTTTTAGAAATGGGGTCTAATAGACCCCAACGCGACTATGAACGTTAAAAATAGGTACGCGCCTGCTTAAGGGTTAAAGGGAAATTATTAAAATATAATGCTAAATACATCAACATGATATATTTTTTGATCTTTTGGCGTATCGTTGAACAATAAGAGTCCAGTAGGTACAGATATGGATAGACACAAGCAAAAAACGCATCATAGTAAAACTAATACCTTCTCAGTTTTCTATCAAAACTAAGAAAGTGTATGAAAATTATTTGTATATATACGTACCTTACCAGATTTTTTTTTTTTTGACGCCACTTATTTAATGTTAATATGTTACCTGTATATTTTTTTTTTTTTGTTAGTGATATTTTTGTATGACTCCCCATTTTTTAGCGACACTTATATAGGAAACAACAACAAAATTTGTTTCTAACTATGCAATGATAGCTATGCAAATAACATAAAAGCAAATAATCAAATATCATATATACAGGTATAATATCAAATTTGTAACTACTTTTAGGCAGTCGGTATTGAACTATGCAACTCTATGGGCAATAAAATAGCTGCTGCTGATAACACACATACGCGCACGAGCATGTCACACTTAACAGCTACTGTTTGCAACCATTAGTTTGAGCGTACAATGCAACCCGTTTTTGTTCCATCAGTACGACGAAACTACTGATGCGATAAGATTTCTGAAAACAAATTTGAATTCAGTGTCATGTCTTTTAGGTATCGGTCAGGCCACTTTTTTGAAATTGTAATTCCTTCAAGGAAAAATTTATTTATTTTTTTTTTTTATATATATATAAGTAGGTAGTTTCATTGGGTGCCCCCCCACTGCATGCTATTCAAGTCATATTGTAATTTTTTTTCACTACTGTTAACCCATTTACGGTTGTGCATATATTTTGTATAGATGTAAATTTTATAAAGTTATTTGAATAAAAAAAAAAATATATTAAAAAAAAAAAAGGATTTGTGTTTTGTATAGCAACATGTTACAAAAATATTTAGAATGTTATAGACTCTTAGTAACACACACAAATAGAGTTAAAAAATTNAATTTCAAAAATATGGCCTGACTGAGTCACATGATGCTGAATTCAGATATGTTTTTAGAATTCTTATTGCATCAGTAGTTTCGTCGTACTGATGGAAAACGGGTTGTTTTTTACTAAAAACCTTAGACGCCTCAAGGTAACAACTTATAAATGCGTATTGTTGTATATAATGTAAGCATCAATCAATCTGTCCAGCACAAGTACCGATAATTGTTTAATAACGAATTATGTTATTTAGTTACACTAAATTAGATTATTCAAATTCACAATAGGTCGTTTAATTATTTCCAAGTAAACATAATTTTTCAACTGATATTTATGTTAGCCGATATAAATGTAACCCGAATCCAAATAGAGGACATACAAAATATCTCCGTTCAGTAAGGTCGACTATAAAGGATTGTTCGTCACCGACAAGTCCAGTATTTACAGCGGATCATTTCAAATCAATCCGTTAGTTCGGATAAAGGGAAACACAAACAATATTTGAAACCGTCGGATTAACGTGGTCAGTAAATGACTATGTCCAAACATGAGTTATATTAGTTATACGTTATAATTCAATTATAACGCATACAAACAAGCATTAATAAGTTTCATGGTGTTTTATTAATATATTACACAGTAAATGTTAGTAATTTATGTTTACTAACGATTAAAATATTAGAAACGATAAATACCAACAAATTTGTTTGTAATTAATTTTGTCTCGATAAAAGAAAAAAGTAATAACACTAATATCATTTTCGTGTTTATCTATTTTGGTCTTTACCTATTTTATATGATAAATACATTTTATTTCTTGTAAAAACCCATAAAAATCTATAATATCCAGTCGACTCTGTTCATAGATATTTTTCAATGAAAGATTATCATACAACATTGAGATTATTGTAAATGTTGTATAATAACAAGTAAATATTTATTATACACCTATTGTCTTACAATAATAATTATGATTTAAAGTTTTTGCAATAATTTTATTTTAAAATTTCGTTATCTGCACAACAAAAACGTGACGTACAATAAATACAACACTCAAATAAACAACACTCGAATAAATCATTTTTAACTGAAACGTGTTTGCTCATTACTGCTAAATTAACAATACTTAAAAGAAATTTATTCGTTTTCAAGCCAAATTACAACGACCGTCGATATCCTTTTTATATTAAGTCGTCACTATTGATTTCAAGGGAAAGAGATACACAAAAATTTACTACCATCTGCAGTTGAGATTTTCATATAACCCTCCCGAATTTTTTTGGAAAATACACCTATGACTTAGAATAATATATCTTGAGATTTTAAATTGATTCTTATTTAACTAATTAAGAAATTTTATATGTTGATGTTAAGCATAAAATTTTGTTTTGTCAGTAGTTATTATTATAATTCATTGTTTTTAATTTAAAATTAATTTAACACGAAAAAAACAATACCTTTGTCCAAAACTTTAAATGCTACTCAAATGAAAAATAATATTAATTTAAGAATTGTTTTCTCATTTGAGTAATTAAACAACTATCATCAGTTCCATTCAGTGTTGATTAGGTTCGAAGAATGCAATTTAAAAAATATAAATGTCTACCGTAATAATTATCACCAGAGTTCGAAAAATGTTAATTTACTTTTTTAGAAAATGTACCTATAAATCTTTTTAAGGGATTTCTTGACACTAAATACATAATAGATAGCAAGGATAATGTATTAACGATTCAAGCAGTATTTATATTAATTTCCATTGTTCTCGCAAAGATATTTTACTAGTTTGTAAATCATTTAATAGGTAAAACTTTTTAATAATCTTATTTTCCAATTATATTAAATATTATTACACGACAAAAATTATTTTTAATAATGACGTAAATACTTAATAAGTGTTTAAGTATCACAAATACATATATTTCTAAAACAAAATCATATAAATAATAGTTTTTATGACATAAAATGATATGATAAAAACAAACGAAATGGTTTAGCTAAATTTTTGTTATTTTACTTCCAGACAAAGTTTGTTTTTAACTTTTGAAAACATAGCTTCCAAACTATTTTTAAAATTCTTATAGTAATTCGCTACTACATTTAAAATACTTGTACAATTTTGAAGTCTATCATCAATTTGTATGCAATATTAATTAAAATGGAAAAAATTAATTTTGAAATAAAATAAATTAACAACTATATTAAAAGCTTCAACAAAGTATTAGGAGGTATATGTTTCGATTTTCTATTAATTAAAAGTAAATTAAACTTTATTTATATGTTGATTTTCAAATTATATAGTAGCTAAGCCGAAAGCGTGAAAGGTGAGAAAACGCCCACCGTTGTAATATATAACGAATAATTTTATTGTACGCAACGACCTATTAATGAAGATATTTATAGTGGTAAAATCCGTGTACGATGACTTAAGGGCTTGGGGCAAAAAATAATTACCATGGCACGTCGGTCCATATTAAAAGTATTGTCCGTAGGCCATAATATTTTTTTATTGAGACATACGGAACGGTTCTAGTGACTGTAAAAACACGAACCCANCTTGGGGCAAAAAATAATTACCATGGCACGTCGGTCCACATTAAAAGTATTGTCCGTAGGCCATAATATTTTTTTATTGAGACATACGGAACGGTTCTAGTGACTGTAAAAACACGAACCCACTGATCTTCTTCAACAGATTTTTATACGCTTATTGGAAATAACTATTCAAAATTACCACAATAGCAGACATAAAAATATCTAGTATGTCTGTACTAAAATTTATTTACAATAACATATTTATAACTTTCTTAGAAAATATCCCATGCATTATATCACTTTATATAACCTGTTTTTAGCATATTAAGGTTGTGTTATTTCCATCTATGATGAACTTCTTATTAATGTTTGATATCGTATTGTATTGTAAAAACAAAAATTTAATTTTATACAAAATTTTTAAATTCTTTTGAATATCATTACTAGAGCTAGGATGTTTATGACCAAAATTTAATTAAAATATGCATTTAAAAATGTAAAAATATGCAATTATATGCTTTAAAATATTTTAAATATACCAATTTTTCAATATCTATATGCAAAAAAAAAAAAGAGGTTAATATTAATTCGAAAAATTTTTTATACCTTTTTAATGTAAATTAATTAAAATTATTTTATTACAAAACACACGTATTTAATATGAAAAAAAAAATTATAAATGTACTTTAAATATCAGGATTACACTGAATAACGATAATTTTGCTGATGTTTTTAAATTTGAACGACCTTCGACGATCTGACAGTATGTTTTTATAAGTTGAAAATGACCGCTCCATATCCACAGAGTTAATCGGTGCGTGCTTAAAATTAAGAAATGTCGTTAGTTTCTATAACTTCAGGTAGTCCTTCAAGTGATTCTTTTTCCCCATCTAATATCTTAGAAATTTTGTCCAAAACTTTTTGAAATTTTGTGTATATTGTTTTACCTTGAGAAGCTGATGCTGCAATTTCTAATTTTCCTGAAACGGTGTTTATAATAGCAACCGATTTGGATAAAGTTTTCCCCTTTTCTTCTAGAGATGTTAGAGCTGAAGATAAGAACGAAAAATTTGATTTTATAAAAGCTAAATTGGCCTCAACTCTTCGTTCACTCATAACTTCTTGAACTGTTTTTATAGACAAAGCATCATTTGGATCAAATTTGTCCATAATTTTTTTAATTGTTTCATATGAGTCACAGTAATAAATAGTCGCCGTCAACCATGTCCCCCGGCGCGTTATAACTGGCTGTGGGGGCAAACTTAGCTCAGGTGCCTCATCTTAAAATATTTGTATTCTTGCTGGACATTTAAGGAAGACTTTTTTGACGGACGATATAAGTTTGTCAACTAAAGGAAAATCACTACGGATTTGCTCAGCTACTCGATGTAAAGCATGAGCTAGGCAAGTTAAATGAAGCATCTTAGGTGTTTTACTGTATATACATATATATTAATATCAATTATGGAATTTATAAATATCTAAATTCTAAAATTAATTTTACTTATTGTACATAGTATTCTACGGATCTTCATCAAAAACAAATTTTTAATATTTTTAATGCAAATTATAAAATATATGCTACTATTTCTAGAAATAATCAATATATGCATTTATATGCTCAAAAACGTCAAATATGCAAAAATATGCAAAATAAGTTTACGTAATTGTAATCTAGACTTTATGAATCAAATTTATATCATACTTGGGTTTAATTCATATTTAGCGAAAAAAATATGCAAAGTCATAAACATCCGAGCTCTAATCATTACATTAAAAAGATATATACCCAACCCAACTAAACCAAACATTTTTTTTTTTTTTGTTATAATTCACTCTATAAAATGGCTATATTAAATTTTTTAAATATTTCTTGTAATTTTTACAAAAGAAAATAATAAAAAAAAATCAGTGGAACAAATGTTATGAACCATTGGTTGATGAATATCAAATCTTTACCAGATCATTAAATGTTTTTTTAGTCTTTACAAATTGCGCACAATGGACCAACAGGTCTGAGTGCATGGGCATTATGTCCACCTCGATAATAACTAATAGTCTTTACAAAATTATAAAGATAATATTGAATATATTATAAACATTTGACATATTTTTATGTTACAAATCACTTTCTAACAATACTATTTTAAGTTAATAAAATAACTTAATAAGACTTGAATATTTTTTTATTAGATATAGAATATTTTTATTAATTAATAATGATTAATGACATAATTATTTTTTCGCACACAATAATTGTATGTTTAAAAAATGTATTTTACTTTTATTTTGAAATAAATTAGATTTATATATTATTTTATTAAATTTGAATGATTATTCTAATAATTTTTATTAGAAATTTTCATAATATACTGTATATTTTATAAATACATCGTAGCAAAATAATTGATTTTTTTTTAATAATGTCTAATCCCTATGATCGATAAAGTAGTTTTTAAAAATTTTATTTTTTTCATAGGTCAAGTTATTTTAGTAAAGTTTCAAAGATTTTAATTGTAAAAGTTTATTTGATATTTACTTTAGAACAAACATAACAATTTAAATAATTTAGAATTTTGCGTCATAACAAAAATGTTACGCTTTGAAGTATTATACATGTGGAAATTAAAAATTTATTATATTTTATATTTACCAATACATAAATTAATTCTACTTTTATACATTACCATGTGTTAAAAATCAATTGGGATAATAGCTTAACATACATTCAGACTTATATATTATTTAAATAATCGAATTGTTACTAAAATGGAACGAACATAAGATTTTGAATTTGTATTTAATATATAAATTTAATACGTGAGAATAGAATTTCAATCATATTAATAATATAAAATTAATAATAATAAATAAATAAAAATATTTTTTTCTGAATTGCTGTTACTGAAATAGTTAGATTTTCTTAGTTTTAGTTCCTGATGAAAAACCAGGTTTTGGAAAATTAGCAGCATAAGTTTCAGTTATTTATTTATGTATATTTTAACGTCCTCTCAACTAAGAAACTCTTAATATTCTAAAGCAGTAGGCTGCAGAAAATCTGTACGAAATCTGTATTTTTATAGATAATAGAATAATGGTAAAAAGTTAAAAGTGGATTAAACGGATATTATTCAAACTACAAAACAAAATAAAACAGTTTTGGGTTTAAAACCTAGTTTTGAATATAGAAAAATTACGGTTTTAAGTTAAAATAATTTTGAAAAACAAATAAGGTTTTGATTAATAAATTAAAATTGGTTATGAAAAACTCTTTTGGGAACACAGAAATGATCCGAAATAATTTTATTTTTAATGTCCACGTTATAATACATTAAAACTACTTATGTACACATAAGTAGTGTAATTTTGACATTAAGTATCATAAATTCGTTCTCAAATATAAAATTTTTATAATAATTTATCAACATTTTTCCTTATATTTTATGCGTTAAAAACTCCCAATACATGTATGCGAAAAATCGAACATTATTATTAAAATTGGATTATAAAATATTAAAAGAATTTTATCGAATGTATGTGCAATCTATAGAATAATAAACTATATATTGTTTTTACAATATCTTAAATCCGATAAAATATTTGTAGATTTTTTTAATAAGCTTGTATTTAATAACCTGAAACTATGTTTTTACTTAAAATATAGGTTTTAGTTAGCTAAAATAAAATCTTTTTATAGTTTTGATTCGTAGCTGAGAAAGTATTAGTTTTGTCATGATGTGCGTTTATATTTATATCTATCCATAAAAATTCTCACTGTACCAATTTTAATAAACATTATGTCAACAGAACCCGATTGTAATCTAGCTGAACCTATCAGCGCCGAATATTTAAAAAAAATCCACAATTTTATAAATTAAAAAATTTATCAATATTATCGTAAAAAGTAGCACTTATTTAAAGGAGATTTTCACATAGTTTACTAGAGACGCTAAGCTTTCTTTTGGTATGCTTTTTCTAAAAATCCAATAAAAAAAATTAGTACAGGGAGGATTTGAAGAAGTAAAAATTTTAAAAATTGTTTTACTACAGTACAGAAACCATCCCAAGATTTTCCTAATATAAGAATTTGACCGAAAAATTAGAAATTGTAAATGTACGAATATACAAATTATTATGAAATAAAACAGTTTTTCATTCAAACATTTTTTATGATAATAATGTTAATCACTGTCAGATATCATTATACTTATCCTAACTATGACACGTCTCCCTTGAGTTAGGTTTTTTGGTTTCGGTTACATTTTTGAAAATGTATTTAGTTTTTTGCAGGTTTTGTACAAATTTGGCTTTAGCTTGTTTTCGGTTTTAATTGAAAAAAAAAAATGAACAGTTAAAAGGTTTATTGCTTGATTGTTTTTGGTGTTAATATAAAAGTAAATCTAATGCTTTATTATTAAATATTTCTGGTTAATAGCAAGGTAATAGTCTTAAAAAAATTATATCTTTTTACTACTTTCACACAAATAGCTTGTATGTGGAATTCTACATATGTGTTAGAAATAAAATGATATGTCTTATTTTGAGCATTTAATTAGTTTTTATTTTATTTGAAGCGTCATTTAGTTTGTTTTCTTATAATAATTTATTTTAAAAAGCAATTTATAGCATCGATGTGTGTCCATACGGATAATTTGCTTTTACTGGACCGATTTTGTATATATCTATACGATATATATATATATATATATATATCATATATAATTTATCATAATATATATATTATATTATATTATATTATATTATACTATATTATATTATATATATATAATATAATATATCATATATATCTAAAGATATATATATATATATAATATATTTTTATATTATCTAATTGAGCTATCAGCCTCATAATTTGGAAAAATTTCCTTCAATCCCTTTAATGAAGATAAATGAACGAAAAAACATTCGATATTAATTTCAGTTTTCACTTTATATTGAAATAACTTTTTGAAAAATAGACATTTCTTTACGAAATTTTATCAACAATAGTTGAGTGTGATGCTAGTTCTTTCAGTTCCTATATTGTTATAATCGAAATATTTTAATTTTTAATTTTAACATCACTTTGGAAATTATAATATTTCATAAATAAAGTATTGTTTCAAATATTTTGTGGAAATATTGTTCATACCTTACCAATATCAAAATTTATTTGCCTCTTTATGTTTTTTCGTGTCAAAAGTAAATAGATTTATTAGACATTTTGCTTTTATTTTTGGGCAAAAGTGTATACTGAGATATTTTCGATACAAAATTTTACTTAATAGGAAATACTTTTTTATTGACTACTTTGAAATCCATAATAATCTTTTTTTGTGTTATAACGTTATCTATAAAAAAATCTCTACATGAGGCTAGTTTTAACAATATCACGATGGAAAGTTGTACAGTATATTTATTATCCATAAAAAATTGCTTTATTTAATAAATTTAATAAAATTGGTATAATCTACTTAATTTTGATTGGATAAATATAATAATGCTTCTGTTGCGAATATGATCTTTATTTTCTTATAACGAGAAAAAGGCTACCTAGGTCGATTAACTCTAAATTAATAAGACGAATTTTTGCTATATATCTGTTATCCAATTAATCACTCCTTTCCTCTCCCACCGAATTATTACTTTATTTTATATTTTATAATAGATTTGTTTAATGTAATACTAATTTATTTAAAAATAATTTATAATGTTATTGATTTCAGCATCGTACTTATTATTTACTGTAGGAAAACATATGTATAAACAAATAATATCCGTAAGAAATTTAAAACAATGTATAATTTGAGTTATCTTGAAATAGTAGTGAATTATAAACATAATTTTAAGAATTTGAGTATATCAAAGAACACGAAGAAAGTATCGTTATTACGATTAGGTATACTTTTTACGTGAAACGTATTGCATCAAATACACTGTGTGTTTTAAGGTAATCTATAAGAAAAGTTTCTGTATACTATCGCCATGACTTTCATTATATTCTGTGGATATAGTTCAACCCACTTGGGAGTAATTGAGATTGGATGAAAGTTAGTTTATTGTTCGGAAGAATTTATTCTCTATTGTATAAATACATGCATAGTTAGCCTTTGGTCAAACACAAAATGTATAATAATAATAATATATAAGACCTTAATTGCCAAACTTGATTAACAAACTATTTAATGATAGTCAAACAAACTTCAAGATGTTTACATACCTTAAAAAAATACAATAATTAATCAATTTCATTAAACGAATATGATTTAACAATAAAAGCCAGAAATTAAGTAATTGGATAAAATCAGATTTATTCATTACACATAATAACAATAATTAATGCGTATACAATTAAG